AACAATATTTGGTCTTTGGTAAAAGGACGCATTTGTTGGGAAAGGAATTCCCAATGATGCTATGTTAATTGACTGATTTCTTTTGCAGTGTGACTGTTTAGTGCCCTAGACTGGAATATCATATCATATCATATCATATCATATCATAATAATAGGATAAATCCAATTATTAGCAACAAATAAAAAGTTACAGGGGCCAGGGAGATAGTTCAGTATAGAATAAGTGCTTGCCTGGCAAGCACAAGGGCCTGAGTTCAATCCCTGGTTCCACTAAAAATAAATAAATAAATAAATAAATAGTTACAACAATTTGGGCATTAAAGACTAATCTTTCTCAGAATTAGAATTAGCCACACCATACAAGGTAGGAGCCAGGGAGACAAATTAGCCAAAGGAAAAACTAAAATTAAAAGGTAAGAAAATATTTCAGAAGGTACAAATGACTGTAACTGCCAGGGAGAGAGGGACAGGAGGGGAGGCCCGAGTGGGTTGTCCCCTTGTAACTGCAAGAGGCAAATCATACTGTCCCCCTGATAAAGAATGCGATGCTACCTATAGAGAATTTTGGACTGGCTGGGATACTTACTTCCCTCATAAATTGTACTTTTTTTGGAGACAGTATCTTGCTGTGTAGTTCAGGCTGGCTTTGTACTCTGTAGCCCACACTGGCATAGAACTCACAGTGATCCTCTTCCCTAAGTCTCCCCAGTTCTGGAATTATAAGCATGCACCACCACACTTGACTTAATTTTATTTTGTTTTAGTCCATGTTATGTTTACAATTACAATATCAACAATGTTTTAACTAGATAGGTGAATGGTATATCAGATACAAAAGAAAAGAAAGTCTCAAGGATTGCGATGGTAGGTACTGTTAATGACATGCAGATATTCCTTCCTTAAAGCCTTTCAAGTGCCTTTTTTTCCAATACATCTCCTACACCTCTGTTGGATCGTACAGCAAATCCTAGGAGTCAGTCTTCCATCCACGTTTTCCTTCTACCTGTTCTCCAAGAATTCTTTTTCATGCTTTTGCTTTCTCTAAGATAGCTACCTACAAGGACCTCTTCCTGCTCTTCCTCATGCTGTGGTCACCTCCTGCCTGCTCCCCAGCACCTCTTCTCCACTCAGTCATTAGCCACTCTGTTCACATTTGCTGAGAACCTGCTTTGCACAGGAAGGGTGCTACCATACAGACCTTTGCAGTGATGGTCGTTTCGTTCTTCCTGCTTCCACTAAACTGCTAGCTTCTCAACACAGGATATTATGTTATCTCTGTGTACTTGGTCCTAGCAAAGCCCAGGTATACAGGAGGTGTTGCACGTATCCATTATTTTTATTATTATTATTATTTTATTTATTTTTATTTTTGCAGTACTGGGAATCAAACTTGGGACCTAGCACTTACCAGGCAGGCACTATATCACTGAACTATATATTCCCGGTCTCCATATGTATTATTTTTATATACACACTTTTTTTCTAATGTACATAGTACAGGGTCTACAGCATCTCACTACACAGATCATACTTGTAGTGATCCTCCTGTTTTCAGCCTCCCAAGTGCTGAGATTGTTATGGGTCACTCAGAATAGGAACCAGATCAGCCAGATTGGAATTTGGAAAGCCGTTTATTACTGAGCTCAGGGCCCCCATCAGCTCTCACGGCAGGAGAGGACCTAAAGGCAGCTAGCTCAGGAAGCAGGGGGCTTTTAAAACATGAAGCCACATTCTGTTTGGTAAACAAATTCATTGACACAAAACAATGCTTTCAGGGTCATTGTGACCACTACCCAAACTAAATTTCCTGGGGCTTTGTTTTAGTTTCTGGTTATCTTGCACCTGAGTAAGTACCTGCAGGCAACCTTGCATAGCCCAAGGTTACAAGAAGGTAAATCCCATTTTGTTTCCTTACGAAGCCATCTCTGTAATCTAACTTTGT